TCTGGGCTAGATGATTTTCAAGCAGAGAAGGAGAGTCTGTTGGCAGGGAATGGAAATCTGAAAGCAAAAGTTCACGATCTGGAGACAAATGTGAACAGAGAGAATTTGAGACTCGGGGCTGCTGTGGCCACACTTAAATCTGGGCTAGATGATTTTCAAGCAGAGAAGGAGAGTCTGTTGGCAGGGAATGGAAATCTGAAAGCAAAAGTTCACGATCTGGAGACAAATGTGAACAGAGAGAATTTGAGACTCGGGGCTGCTGTGGCCACACTTAAATCTGGGCTAGATGATTTTCAAGCAGAGAAGGAGAGTCTGTTGGCAGGGAATGGAAATCTGAAAGCAAAAGTTCACGATCTGGAGACAAATGTGAACAGAGAGAATTTGAGACTCGGGGCTGCTGTGGCCACACTTAAATCTGGGCTAGATGATTTTCAAGCAGAGAAGGAGAGTCTGTTGGCAGGGAATGGAAATCTGAAAGCAAAAGTTCACGATCTGGAGACAAATGTGAACAGAGAGAATTTGAGACTCGGGGCTGCTGTGGCCACACTTAAATCTGGGCTAGATGATTTTCAAGCAGAGAAGGAGAGTCTGTTGGCAGGGAATGGAAATCTGAAAGCAAAAGTTCACGATCTGGAGACAAATGTGAACAGAGAGAATTTGAGACTCGGGGCTGCTGTGGCCACACTTAAATCTGGGCTAGATGATTTTCAAGCAGAGAAGGAGAGTCTGTTGGCAGGGAATGGAAATCTGAAAGCAAAAGTTCACGATCTGGAGACAAATGTGAACAGAGAGAATTTGATCATTAGTGGTTAATCTGTAAATTATTTTCTCTTAATTGATGAACTATTTTGTCTATAAAATACTGAAAAATGCCATCTTAATGTTACCTTTGTTTGATCAAAAGCCCAAAATACTACAGCATTAAAATCAAATAAAAGTTAAAAAGCTATAACCAACAATCAATTCTTAAATATCTGATGAATGCGGATTGTTTAATAAATTATTGTGAATCTTTTACAAAGGAAGCAGACGATAATAAGCCAGTCGTATCAGTCCATGCCAGTATGGAGATCTGTATTAACATGCTGTTGTAATTTGAACTGCTGAGTCTCTCCTCTGTGCAAGACATAAAGACAATACACTAGAAGTTTAAAAAAAATGAATTTATTTTGTTTTACACCTTTAAAAAGAAAGTTTTTAAAGCACAAAGATTTACTCTGTATATAAACACCTCTCTTCCGTGGTCTAAAAAATGGTAAGATTTGCACATTGTGCTTGGATTGCTAAATCTGTACAACTGCTCTGGGTCTCCTGTGGTGTCACGACCCCAGTAAACGTTTTATTGCATAAATCACATTTGACCTTGGTGGTCACATGATAAAGTCAACATAGTGGAAATACAAAAAAAAACAAAAAAAACCCCCCAAAAACCTAAAATGAGGAAAAGAAATTCTCATACTTGTTACACAGTGAACAATAATAGCAGCTTTCTTAATGAAGGCGTTGCACATTGTCCTGAAAAAAGTAATAATAATCCAAAAGAAATCCAATCAAAATCAAGACAATAAATGGCAGTTGTGCTTTTGTCTATATAGCAAAACACCTTATTCCTCTGCACATCATTCCAGCAAATAATGAAAAACAAAAAACACACTCTCCAAAAGAAAACCCCCAAATCAAAACAAAACGTTGGAGAATTTGCAGCTATTAGCCGACTTCCCTTTAAAACAGTAGCTGACTAAATGCTAATCTCTAGTTGCACACACCCCCTTTACAACAACCAAGCTTTATGCATCTTATTTTTGCTATAATCTATTCAACCTACATTTGAAAAACTAGCATTTCTCAAAAGGCAGTGTCTCTCCATGAGAATCTCCGAGGAGACTTCAAATCATGAAATGCTGAATGGAAATCAGTTTTTGCACAAAAATATACAAATTCAAATATACTTTCAATCAGTGGCTTTGGCATAAACAAAACAGAGCTAGTTATTCACAGAAAACTTTAATTCCTGAATGTTCCCTTGAAACTACATATTTCTACTTGTCTTGTCAAAATGGCAAAATATAAATTATTCAAATATTCGTGGAACGAAAACGCCATCAGGAAATGAACAAAAAGGATCCGTAAGGATACGAATAACTCAGATTATCACAACATGCACCCTCCCTGTTTCTCTGGGATGATATTTGATCTTTTCACTTTAAATACAGACCCTCAGTGTAATTCCTTCTATCCAAACTATAAACCTCTACAACAGAGGATTAGGGCCAATGTTAAGGAAAAAAAAATCTGATTTTGAGAAAAATGTTCATAAAAGATACCATAATATACATTTTCCTGTAATAAGAACTACAATACAGCAATCACTACATATACACTGCATCGTATGGTTACTATGTCTCCTCTAAACAAGGGGTTTTCCACTAACTGTGACCCAGGGACCACCGTTCTGACTTACCCCTAATTTCCACCAAATGTGGCTGTATCACGTTCCGTCTCTGACATGGCCGCCAGGGTCAGTCTAGACAATGGTTGTGCTTCCTCTGGGTCCAGCTGCATCGTGTCTCTGATCTGCTCCACATGCAGCTCTCCGAACTGCTTCACTAAATATGTGCACCTACGGTAGTCTATTTTTGATGGATGCAGCATCTGGGACACATCTGAAATAGTTCCGACTCACCAATCATTTCGTGCTCAAAACCATGTCACGGAAGGAACGCAATGCAACGGCATCTAGTGAAAAGAAGGGGCAAGAGGTAACCTGAGGACCACTGCTGTAGGGTAGACAGACTGGATGAGCACTATTTTAATCCAGAAAATCACCTTGATTTTTCTAAATTTTACACATTTGCATCTAATTATTCACAAATAATAATCAATACATGGAAATGTGTTCAAAAAATAAATAAAAAAAAATTGAGATTCCTTCAGTGAAACCAATATTTAGTGCATGGTCATGGACCACCTGAAACGCCTTCGTGGGACCACCAGAAGGCTGCGGACCACTAGTTGAAAACCATTGCTCTAAATATGATTCTTCTTCTCCTCATAATACTACAACTTTACTCTTGAAATATTACAACTTTGTCCCTGAAATATGAGGACTCAAAATCTCAGACTATTTTCTTAACAGTGCCCCTAATAATCTGTCCTAAATCCTCCCTCAGTCCTGAAAGGGAGAAGCTGCATTACAGATGGAGCTGCAAAATCAGGATGATGTTTGAAGCAAAGCAGCTCTTTTCTACCTCATATTACATGGAAGTTAATCACACGCATGTTTTGATGTCATGCTAAAAGCTTACACTGGGAAAGCCTACTTTACTGTCTGGGGAAAAGTTTTCATCTCAAAATTTACACCAGCCAAAATAACCAAAGAAAATTCATCACCAACACACCAGCCTGATTCTCCTGCTTCCTGTTAATAATCTTCAAGGTAGATCGATGAAAGCCTCATTGATGCTGAGGGCTCTGCTTTGCTTTGCTTGTGTAAATGCTGACTCATCCCTGACGAGCAACTGTGCTGTGTGCAGGCTCCCCAGCCTATTAGACAGGCAAATTGTTAGTGCCTCGGTGAGCCTCTTTCTCCTTGTACAGCGCTCAACAGGGCAGTACTCAGATAAAAAAAAACAAAAAAAAGAAAGCTAAGTTCATGCACCCATAACAGCTGAGAGGAGCAACAAGAGCCTGCAGGGACTGGCAGCCTCTTTATGTCTGTCAGGAATTTAAACTCCAGCTTCAGTGCTCCTGGCATTGTCTATTTAAATGTTGCAGATTGACACCGTAGTGGGATGCAGCTGTGCCTCTGCTGCCCACCTGTCTATCTAACTGAACACACAGCACAGACATCTACTCCACCTACACTTGGATTCTGCAAGAGAAGAGTTTTTAACATGAATTTCCAAGTAAACATCCAAAAACAGACAAAAAGGGGGGAAATGAAGATGAAATGTTGCTACAACTAGTAACGCTGGTGTTCACACCAAAGGAAATAAAGGGATATCGAATAGTACAAGTTACTAGCTTTAAAGATCTTAAGAAAGGATTGATAACATTAGCAGAGATGTGTAGCCCAGTCTGCACACTGGGAATTACTGTGTCCACTTCAAGACAGCATACCCATGGAGATGATGCATATATCTGGCTCCGCCTTGTTTTCCAGCTTTACACAACTGTACGAATAAGAACAGAGCAACAGCGACTCTTGATCAGTGAATCCAAGAGGCTCATTTCTCAGTCTTTTTTCATTATTTGTGATCAGCTGCGACCACTTCGGTGCTGAATTAACCTTGGCTGGGATCACAATCCAAGATGTCTGATACAGAAAATGTGTACTTAACTAACTGTGCTGAAGTCAAAGTGATGCCGAACTTGTAGCCGTGTTCTGCAGTGCAGGTACACGGGTGATTCCATTTTTCTTTTTTTGTTGTGACCAACAAAGACACTTTTAGCGGGTTGTGGTTACATCTAAGAATGCTAGCATACAGTGTTTTCATCTTGAAACATCCCACACCAGTATTACAGTAGCCTCAGGTGGATAAACTGTTGGCCCATTTAGGACTGTGAATGTAACAGGAACACCCACAGTATGGCGGTATGCTACGGTACCTGCTGTCTTCACTGCAAGTCACATGGCCTAAAATGCAGGCGTGGAACCATTTGAATAAGAAAGTTATCATTATTATTATGATGTCAAGCAGACAGATGCACCTAATAGATGACATTTCTATTTCGAGGAAAAATATTTAAAGGAGCACGCTTACTGACCACACAACAATATATGTAATCCCTCCCAAAATGATCTGTTACTATTTCTCACTATTTGAGAGAAAAGGGCTTCACAAAAGAACTGGAAGCTACTGTTTTGGAAGCGCAAGTATTTGACTGTTCAACTTTTCTCTAAATCGCTGACAGCCAAATAAAGTCATTGCACCTAAATAGCTTAAACATGGTACACTTAAAAAAAAAATAATAATAAAAAAAAAAAAAAATCATGTTTTAAAGTGTTTAGGTTTTGAAGGCTATGGGATAAAATATTGCAATGGAGAATTAAAATCCAAAATGTGTAAGTAAGATTTTAGTCGTTTGGCAATATTCTCTTGGAAATAATGTATAATATATTCTGTTATTTACAGGTTATCTGTATCAATAAACTTTGCAAATCTGGGATGTAATGGTAAAAAAATACAACCGGAGAAGGGACTTATGATGGAGGCATCAAAGAATTAGTCTTATTTAAAACAACACACACTCTTCCTGAACGCAAACACTCACACTCTGAAACTAGGTCTGTGCATAATTACAAACACTAGAGAGAGAGCTACAGTCGGTGCTGCAGAAAATACAAAACCTGCGACAGAGCACACGAGAAAGTTCTAGTGTTCATCCATTAGAGACTTAAACTTTGACCAAAACTAGGATGCACACAGACGCATTATGTGAGCACCCACCGCACATTCGATTATCCATTCAGTTCTCACATAGAGCATATTCATCGACTCCTCAGGCATCACCTCAGCTGTAGACTCTGTGCAGGTGATAGTGCGCCTAGTTGTGCTTGGCACGAATCCCTTTTAAGTAGTTTTTCCAGCGCTTGACCACATCCTTGAAGATGGGAGAACTGTCTATGGATGCCAGCAGTTGTAGCTGGTTGATGTGCGTGGTGTGATAGTCCCAGCGCGCCAGGTTGGGCGCGGTGCCCAGCATGAAGTGACGCAGGTCATAGATGCTCCCAGAGCCTGTGTCAAAGAGCGGCAGCATTGCCTTCAGCGACTCCATGCCACGGCTGAACAGCTGACCTGCTTCCCTGCCCAGTTTCTCTCCAGCTGTCTCAGTCAAGTCATAGAGTCCCAGCAGGGAGTAGATGAAGCCGTTGAGGACAAAGGAACTGGGAGTGGTGGGGTATTCTTCATACCAGTCGTATTTGTTCATGAACACAGCTCTGACCCCGTGCTGCGCTGAAGGCACCTTGTAGGGTCCTACTGCTTTGAGGGCAGCATTGAGGTAAACCTGGTCCTTGGTGAGGAGGTAGGCTCTTACTAGGGTGGACATAGCCTGGCCCTGTGCCATGGCCGAGTACCACCCGGGCTCCAGCGGCCGGAAGCCTTCCCCCAGTTTACGGGTGACCATGATTGGCCAGCCACCTCGTTCGTCCTGGTTGCGCACCAGCCAATCACTGGCAGCAAAGAAGGCAGCCATGTGGGCAGTGGTGGAGATAGTGATGTTGTCAACAAAGCCACGTCCGTGTAGGACTAGTCGCATCACCCGTCGAGGCATAATCTGAGAAGGAAATTAGATGTAAAAAAAAGACAAAAAAAAAAAAAAAAAAAAGACTGGAATTAAGATTTGGCATTAATTCTGAAATATCATCTTTACATGTCATTATTTTGTGTCAGTTTTCACAATGTGGCATTCCTAATTCAACAAATTTTAAAGTAAAAAAAAAAAAAAAAAATCTATAGTTACCTTTACTGTACATGTACAATTTTTTTTAAAAATCTGTTAAAAATAATGCTGCAAAATCATCGTGTGATTCGTTTCGTCCACACCACTAAGGGAAAATGCAGCTTTAGTGTTTGTGTGAAATTAATTATAAATGATCCAGTTCAGGGCAGCAGCTAATGCTTTTTTCCAATCACTGATTAATATGCTGATTATTTTCCCAATAAATAGATTTTTTTTTGTCTATAAAATGTCATGCAGGAAAAAACATTGCATAAAAGAAGATTTGGGTGTGTGGACCAGCTGCACTTTCTTTTATAAAATGTCCAAAAATAGTGAAAAATGTCTGTTGTAACTTCTTAAAGCCCAAGGTGGTGTTTTCAAACTGCTTGCTATATCCAGAACCCAAAAACGTTTCACCTGAACCAACCTTTGTGGCTTTCACAGCCTTGGTGTTGGACAGCCCGACGCCCTTCCTGAGGTCGGTGAGCAGGTCTCGGGTCAGAGTGCTCCAGGCGGTCCGTGGCCCGATACCGTAGGTGATTTCACGGTCTTTGAAGGTGATGAGCTGCATGCTGGTCACGTAGTGGATAGTGAAGGGTGGGCCCTTCTCTGTGGTTTCAAGGATTACGGCTATGCTGCCATTGGAGATAAACCGGATGTCCAAGCTGAGAATGAAGTCTCTGGAGTTACTCAGCTGGAGGGACACACCTTCTGAGGACTCTGAGGTTTTTGGCGTGGGGGGTGGGGGTGAGATGCAGTAGATGAGGAAAAAAAGTGTATAATGAACCACAACTACAGGAGAAAATACATTTCAAAGCATGTTTCCAATACAGAGCATGTGAGCGGGCGGATTTTAGACAGAGCACACAGAGAGCCCGACCCAGAATGCATCTGTGTCTTGCATAGTTGTCCAATGCAAACACTGGCCGTTGCGAGCTCAGCAATGTTACTAAAGCACTTTAAAAAGGAAGCTGAAAGGCCATACAGGTGTGCTGTGTATTTTTGTTTAATTAGGCCCATTCATTTGAATTTCACATATGACTCTGTGTTATATTCCTTGTTACACGGGCCTAACTGTAATTTGAAATCATGTCTATTTGGAAAAAGTAATCGTTGTGCTTTAGTACTTTGGGATATAAGGCTACGATTTAAGCTAAAAGTGAAATACTTGCAGATTTACCCCCCTTTTTGCAGTGAGTGGGCGCAATTTCAGTGGAGCAGGATGCAATCTGAGTTGAGCGCTGAGCCATAATGAGCAGAGCGGCCTGGTGCGGTTTTGGGGGGGAACACACGGAGTGGGCGAACAGCTCCGTGAGCTTGGAGCGAAAAATCTCACCACTCATATGCTCTGATTCAATACCTGGCATCTGATTTAAAAAAAATGCCCGACTTCATTTGACTGATTTTAAGAAGCTGATACTGGATGACAGTGGATTATTTTTAGCACACTGACTAGAGGCCTTTTTTTAACAGTCTCCCTGAAAATAGTCCCATCCTTTGACAGTACATTTCATGAAAGCTGTCTTTTTACTCATGTTCCCAATATTCACTCTGTAGTCCCATTCTCAAGTCAATAAATATGGCAATCCTAGAAATAATCTGTGGTCAAAACCAGAGTCATGTAACTCCTGGCTGAAGTGTCTTGCTGTGTGTATCATGTCACTGCACACTGGGCTTAATGAGGAGAGGGGAAAGGAGGGAAAACAGTGGGAAAACAGGAAATGAACTGAGTATCAGCAAGATGGAATAAGGGCAGGAAAGAAGAAGCTGAATCACTGCAACAACTTTTCCTTTGGAATCTCCACATTTCTTCCCTACAAGGCTCATACTGTAGATAGGAACTCGGATGACATTCAGTTTCCACAGTGTGACTGATGCTCTAACACTGTATCACCTCTGTGCCAGTTAAGTTCAGGCACTTCAGCTGCTGTTCTGAAGTCATTTCAAAACCCTTCAGCACTAACAGCTTCTGCAATGATCTCTCCTTTGGCCTCGTTACTTGGTCTGAACAATAATAAAAAAAAACTTTTCTAATCAAGGTTTCCCTAAGCATGAGGGCAAGAAAAGTGTGTAGGAGTCAAGAAAAATGGAAGGTAATGGAATGATGGTTTGCACAAGTGCCCTTAAAGCCAGCCTGAGAGCAGAGTGTGTGAAAATGAACCAAGAGTCAGAAGACAACTGAGAATCAGAGACAGAGATCTCACATGACACAAGCTGAGAAAACAGAAGCAGACGATGCAGACTGAGACACAAAGACAGTCGATCAGGAAGAGAAAGGAGGAGAGAGCCAGTCTGGCAGGGGCCTCTGGATGACTACGGCTCTTTAATGCACTCATAAATCCATTACTTAAGGCAAGGCAGAGAGTAAGTGGATTTGTACTCTGGCCCCGTGATTACTCTGCCATCAATAAAGGATGGGAAGGGAATATATACGAGATTCCACCTCCTCTGCTCTGCTCTCTCTGGTGGTTTAGCAGTAAGGCAGGAGACAGAGATGACATGCTGCTAGATATATATCAGCAAATACCAGGCTTGTATACATGTGTGAGCATATGAGATCAACATGTACTGTGCATGTGCAGATACAAAAGGTCTAAACAACAAGACAACAGTCAATGCATGTGTGTGATTATTGTACCACATTCTCTGGACACACAGTGCAGTTTGCTTATTTTAACTTCCAACAGGTCCAAAACGTATGTTCAGTCTACTAACAAACAAAACCATATCCCCAAATTTACAAAGCTAAGACCATCTACTTGTTGACATTTTACTTGAAACAACAATTAAAGGTTAGTTTAATTTAATTTTCTCTTGACTGAGTAGATACAGTAAGAGGAGGAAAAAGACCCAAACTAAAAGAAGGGAGTAAGACGAGGAAATGGAAGGACACAAAGACAAGATGACAAAGCAGAATATGGAATTAAATGGATAGTGCAAACATTGCGATGTTCAGAAAGCACAAGAGGGCCGAGCAGTGATAAGTGGGTGGAAATGAGTAAACAGAGGTGGAAGACTGAGATCTGGGGATAGACGGGGAAGATTAATGGACAATGCTGAGAGGGTGCCGAGGAGTGATGATGAAAACATGATGAGAGAGAGCTATGGAGAGAGAGAGAGAGAGTAAGGAACAGAAAACAACAAGGTGTAGAGTGGTGAAATGAAAAGAAATTGTTGATGGGAGGAGGCTGACAGCAGAAGAATTAGGAGGAGGGGAAAATTGCAGTGGAGACAGCAGCTCAACAGAGGACAGAAAGTCCTGGAGATATCAGCAGGAGATCAGAGGACAATAAAGACAGCTTACAGTCAGCACTGGGAAAAAGTCTCTGACTTCTCTGAATCCCCAAAATAACTCTGCCAACTATCTGGTGGCCTTGGTCACTTTACAGCTGTAAAACCAGGCCAGATTTGCCATCTCTAGCCAGATTTTATTTATAGTTTTGATATCTAAACCACTCAGAGATCAGCAATGTCACTGCAGGACATCATGAGGCCTGAACATTTTGAGGACATTCATTTTCTGACAAGTATTAAAGTGTAGCATTAAACTGCAAGTATTTCCCATGAATGTAGCTACTAAAAAAGCCCCACTTTTCAAAGATGTTTTATCTTAAGTACTCGACTCCATGTCTGAAAATGTGATATGATCAGGACTGTCCCACTGAAGAGGCATCTCCACCTTTCATTAAAGGGCACACCTAGTGGACAGCGGCCTACAGCTTTTGTTGGGTCCTTCTATACGTGTTCTTCTCTGTGCTTGTGCTCTTGCAGACTTTTGAAATGTCAGTCACAGAGTATTGTTCGAATTCAAAGTCTGCATCAAACAATGGCAGAGATTTTGAGCCTGGCTCAAAGTTATTAGAATTTCTGTCTGAATGTCTGTCCTAGGTCTGGTATTATGCAACTCTATTGAGTATTGATATTTTTTTTCCAGGCAAGAGAGTAATCGTCTAGATTTAAAATATTCCAGTCTATTCAATCTATTCCAGTAATACCAATTTGGAAATGTGCTCCGGTGTTTTCAGAAGTGTGCTAGCAGACCACGTTAACTCTAATTGGCAGGCAGCTACCATGATGACTGTGGTCAGGGTTAGTTGTCATCTCACTTATGTAGTCAGTGAGCAAGGACGCTGGTGCTCCAGTTGCACACTGAGTGCACCGCGTCCTCCTGTCCTTGGGAGTTTGGACTCCAAGCTCCAAAGTATGGGAGTCTGAATCTGGCACACCTGATGTCCTTTGACCAACAAACAGGACTGAAGTTAGCTGGCTGCCGCTGATAACATTTGATAACAGTTATTGTTTCAGTAACTCAAAGTCATAGTAAAAAGTAGACGTCTGGAGTGAAAATAACACTGATTATCAGTTTTTGTCTTTAGGGAGTTTCTTTGTACAAGACTTTTCAAAATGCATTTATTTATTTAATAAGGAAAACCTCAGAGAAAGAGTGAAAAAAAAAAAGACAAAAAAATTAATCTTGACAAACACTGATGCAAACAATGCAAAAACAAAAAATCTATAACACCTTTTCATTAGTCAAGCAAGCATTTGATAATAAAAATAAATCAAAACCTGTAAAACGTGAGTGAGATACACTATTGTAAAGCATTAAAACAAATAATTAGACAGCATAAACAGAACATCTGAACAAAACTGGATGAAATGTGTGATGCTGTGTCGGTGATTCTTTAAGTCACCCCCAATTTCAGTATCAGAACCTATCCTTAGGGGTGGGGTGGGGAGTCCGCTGTCAACCACACTGTCTGCCAGTATTCTCACTCTGTGGCAGTGACTCACCACTGACTATCATCCTGTCCTGGGGGTGTACTGGCATATTGAGCCTCCTACAGCTGCAGCGAACAGGAGACAAGCCACTTGCCCCGAGGCCACTTGAGCTCATGGAAGGCTTACGTACCTGGAACACTGAACTGACGCACGGAGGTAGCTCGGGCCTTGTCGTAGACACGGCTGAGACTGCAGCCCTTTGGCACGCTCCATGGAGCAGCGCTGGCTCGGCTATCTCTCTCCTTGGCTGTGTCGTAGACCTCCACATGGGGAGGGCGCTCAGTCAGGTTTTTGCTGTAATGGCTCAAACCATACTGGGCAATCTGGATGGCATAGAAATAGCCCTGAGGGCCCCACTGAGTGGAGAGAGGCACACCTGGGTGGAAAGAGGGAGGGTGAGGACAATGATAAGTAAATATAGAAAATGACCTCTTTACATGCAGGAAACCATAGACACTGCAATCTTATGCTTCTGCTTCTGTCTTTTTCTCATTGCTACCTTTATAGTGTACTGAAATCCTTTAATTTTTCTGCTTATATTCTCATCTTGTTCATGTAAAGGTTTTTATTTTATAGTTTTTCCATCTATTTCAAGTTCCTTTTTGTATGGCAGTTGTCATAATTGTTTTATTAAGGCATGAAGAAAGACAATGTTTATCACCATGGTCATATCAGTAAAACTGGTCCAAATTAATTACTGATACCAAACAGAGGAAGAGTAAAACTTTCCAGTAACCTGATGAGTCTAGCTATGGCATTCATTTAGATTCAAATCTGGGCCAATTTTGTAAACGCAGACACAGCAGACATTAGAAAAGGGTCACAGCAAAAAACAAGAAAAAAAAAAAAGGCTCTGAGAAAACCCACCAGCTATAATAAATGATTGGATGGTACAGTGGAAGTCAAGCGCCATTGCAGGCAAGCTTCTCTGTTCATGCAGCCAGAAATAGCTCAGGCAGGAGAATCACTCTGATTAACAGATAGTTCACTTAAAGACCTTGTGACAGAGAGAGCACATGTGCCACCCAAACCCCATCTTTCTGTGTAGAGGAACACAATAAGCTCAGATTAGTGCTAGGTGATAATGTGCCTCCCTCTTTCAGAGTAATCACCGCTCCACACGTAGCTGATCACTTACGTTCTACTTTCCTTGCTGCCATTTGTGCTGTTTGTCCCAAAAGGACCCATCTGGTACCAAAATCTAAAAGTATGGGTCCAGTTGCTCAGTGATATAAAAGAAAGAAGGATCATCTTGGCTTTCATGAGTTTTGTTTTTTTATTCTAGCTGTGTATGCAATAAGCATGTAATGTAATGTTAAAATGGAGATGAAAAATGAGCTTGAGATGATCACGTTGTTGTTTATCTCAAAATTTCTTCAGGGCTCAAGCCAAAAGGTTAGTGTGTACAATAGTAATAAATCTTATTTAATCTATAGTGCATCCTTTACACATACATAAAATGTAGCTTGACATATTTTGCCTAATACAAAAATAAAAGACATGGATGGATGGATTGATACTAATACAGTATATTCATATGTATTATTTACTAAGTGATAGTTAAAAACCTTTTTTAAATGATCATTAACAATTTTCCAAACTTTTCTACCAGTTTGAAAACTGAATGTCTAACCTTTGGGCTTCTCACTACTAAAACATGAAGTCACATTTCACCTGTCAGTGAGGAGTTTCACCAAAACCCCTCAGCACAGGACTCCCACACAAACACAACAGCAGGAGCAGATGCAGTGACAATGACATGATCCTTTCCACAAATGCTGGTAATTTATATTCAGTGGCCTACCCAACCATAGCTAGAAACAATTACGCTAAGGACTGAACCCAGGTTCCTGACGTGGTGGATGGGTGGTCTTTATGTCTGTGCTTACTGACCAAACCTATTCTACTTTTTCTCTGTGAAGTTACAGCTTACTGACTGCAGAGTGGCAGCTACACTCCCAAGGCACATTTCCAGCTGATCCCTGCAGTGTTTCCGATGCAGAGAGCTTATCTGGATAACCCATCCACACACTTTCAGTCAAAGTCAAGGTGAGATGTCTATCAATAAATTGTGCCAGCAGTCCCTCCTCCCTGCACTCTTCCATCAGGCCAGGCAGAGGGGAAATCCAGAGTTTTTTTTTATCTGTACCACTCAATTACATTATTTCATCCAGTCATTTAGGGTAGAGATTAGTGCTACTGGTGCATAAAATGCTTGATTTATTATTATTTTTAATTGCTAGTAACAAGCTTCATGGCAAACACATTCATGTAATGCATCTGAAACATGTATTTTCTTCAGTTTGGTCATCATTACTAATGGGGCAGGGATTTATATCCAATTTTAATGATCATTTTTAAAAGGACAAGTACATGGCATGGACCAGTACCACATATCACATTTAAGCAGTAGTCATCACAAACAATTCCTGATTGAGAACTGATATGTTCTTTTAATCTGTTAAAAAAAAAAAAAAAAAAAAAAAGAGCACAAATCTAAACACAGGCAAACTCTCATACCTCCCCAGACAAACACACATACTTCCAATCTCTTGCCAGGCTTTTCTTCATGCTTGTCTTGTTACTGGCATCTCCCTTGACAACTTAAGTCAAATGACTGTCAAAATCCTAACAATGTTATACTGTGCCACTCACTGAATAACACTAAGTAACCCATGTGGAGTTGACTGTTAAACCTGTACATATTTTCATGACGGGAGCAGGCTTTTCAAGAAATCTGGAAAAACTAGGTGTCCTGCCAATCACAGTAGCTTCTTAGCCTACTGAATTTAAAGCTGCAAAAGTGCTACACCATCATTTGTTGTGCAGTTTTTCCACCACTTTCTTTTAAAAGCTAATTAAAAAAAAAAAAAAAAACTCTAGCAGGTCAGCAAAATGTTGACGCCTGGATGAAATTATCTACCACAACCAAATCAGCTGAGTAGCTCTTTATAGCTTCTATCAAGATAAAATATAAAAATATATTTGGGCAAACAAACAAGCTCAGATAATCTCACTGTGAAGAACCAAAGTAAGCTGGATTACAATATTCAGCATGTTATTAGCTAAAGGACCAGATGTTTTCATCAGAAGCTGATGGGGCCTAAAGCGGAGCTAGTGAATTCTGGACGGGAAGTTACTTTTGGCTTGGGTGAGAAATGCTATGTATATGCAGGTTCTACAAAGTAAGGCAGACAATTTTCTGCTAAGACATTAGCCATAAATAACAACTTGACAACTCTATGGTCTATCAGAGCTGTGTTTCAGGAAGGTTTGTTATCTTTCTGTCTCCTTGTGACCAAAATGGCTTAATGCAGCTTTGTTTGCATTATGGGTTGGTATTCCAGCAGAGTATATCATGAAACAAATAAATACTATACTTATTTAGCTGGATATTCCACTTCCTGCTACTTAGTGATTCATAGACTACAGGAAATGCGACAAGAAATGGAATATAAGTGTTGTATCGGTAGTGTTTTCATGATTTTATTCCATACAAAAAAAAGCTAGAGATTATACATTTGCATTCAAAGACTGACAGTAAATTTCAGACTAATTTGTCTCTCAATCTAAAAAAATCCATCCCATTTGTATCACTTACAGAAGCAACTGACAGATGTTGAGAAATTTATAAAACTGCAGCGGATGCCCAATGCTAGACTTCTGTGAGAAGTTACAGAATAAGGCAGAGGCTACAGTGACATCGAAGGACCATTACGATAGTTATCTGCTGCTAAGGTTCCACTTAAACGACTTGTCCATGGGTAGCAGGCTGTGTTTGGAGATAAATGCTCCCATGACCTTGTTTAAGCCCTGTGGTACCTCTGACTGTGACAGGCTAATTAACGAAATGCTATTTTCACCTACTGAAATGTGCAAAGTTGAAGAAAGGTGTGCATGCTTACGGATGTGGAGTTCTAAGTAGCAAAGAGCCTTGGGTTTAATTAACGGACCTTGCTAAACTGTGTGTGTATGTGTAGATGTGTTTCCTCAGTTTTGTACTTAACAAAAACAGTCTGCAGGAAATGGGAAAGTGAGAATAATTTGGCTCTCTGCTGCTCAGCCCAGAGATACTACCACCCGGCTGTATTCCTCTCTTGACCCATTTCCCATTATATACAATATGTTACCTCCTATACGCATGTTGTAAAGGGGCACAGTAGGGGTAAACGCAGTACAATTTGTTCAGACAAAAATTATGCAAATTACACAAGTATACAATTCATTGAAAAATCATATAAACTAAATAGAAACATTTGACCATATGTATTAACAGGCTTTCGGACCTATCTCACAGTTCAGTATTCTCTGCATCAGTGCAAGGATTACAGCTCAAAAGAGTGTGTGGTGGAATTACACATCTCACAGATTTTACTATAAAGAAAACATTATGTGGTTCTGTTTCAGTGATGAACAGAAAAGCTGATTTGTGTCAACACATAATACAAAAAAGGGGGTGGAAAAAAAAAATCAATGTGAGAAATTGCACTGTCAGTCTCTGCAAAAATACCTAAATGTTTTTTGGAAAATGGCTCCTGCAAACACTGGCTATCATTAGTAATAAAGCTAACCTCTGCATGTGACACTATGCCAATGAGTATAGCATCATTTATCACATCTCTAGACCTGAGTGGGAAAAGAATTCAGGACTGAGGTTGAATAACTATGAATAACCCCTTTTTATATTTCTCTTATTTTCGCTGATAACAGATGATAACGGTATTATTTTTTTTTTTTGTTATACTTGTATAGCGCTTTTCTACGCTTTACAGCACACTCAAAGCACTTTCACACTACTTGGCCATTCACCCATTCGCACTCACAAATGCTCACACATTCATTCACTGGTGTTATCACCGGGAGCAACTGGAGGTTCAGTGTCTTGCTCAAGGACACTTCGACATGTTGACTGGACAAGCCGGGAATCGAACCACTAATCCTCCGGTTAGGCAACGGCCTGCTCTACCTCCTGAGCCACAGCCGCCCCAAATTTGAATATTTGAATTCCTGGTGTGATAATATTTATTTTCTCTACCTGGTGGCTTTAGACATTTGACAGTCAAGGATAATGAATATCTATTTTTGCAATTTCAGGTAAATTCTCTTGGATCATGTTCTTCATGTACAATATACCAGGGTCCATCAAATACATTTCCCCGAGGGCCAAAGTTTTTCTAAGCAGACACTACGGGGGCTGGACTAGTGGCTAAAAAAGGTTTAGGCCTAATTACGTTACTGTTATTTTTATTGCCCTGTATAAGTGTGAACTAACACCTAGGCCTATAACCCTACTTAAACTGTTTAATGTTAAATGAAAACGTGGAAAAAATAAATAAAGCAAAATGTTAAATGAGGACGCAGCACAAGCCACACTCCATTCATAAAGGCCTATCCGGAAACCAGCGTGCAAATTATATTGTGCGTTTGTGCGGGGGCCTGCTTTCAGCCAAGGGGCTGCTGTGTTGAAGATGTGTGCTCCGGCCAAATCCACACACACTGTCACACAAAATAACACAGCAAAGCAGTTATATATTTTTATTGTTATTTTAAAAACACCCCCCAAGACCCCTGGACTTCACACACGGTGACTAAAACCAAACCCAGGCTACTGCTATAGTGACATAAACAAGGAGTTTTGCTGTACATATTGATGAGTTCTCTTCTTCTGTTGTTCCTTTGAACTGTGGTGTGCCTCAGGGATCCATCTTGGGGCCAGTTCTCCTTTCTTTGTATTTACTTCCCCTTGGATCGATTTTTATGAAATATGGGTTGTCTTTTCATTGTTATGTGGATGATATTCAAATTTATTTGCCATTGAATGTCAAAGCTCATTTCAGACCTTGATGGATTGCCTGAGGGACATTAAGGCATGGTTATCACATAACTTCTTACATATTAATGAAAGTAAGACAGAATGTGTTGTAATTGGTAACTCTGGTGTCACTGGTTCTGATATTCCTAGTTTTTTGGCCTCCTACCTGAGGCCTCATGTGAGAAATCTTGGGGTGGTATTTGATGGTGCTCTTAAGCTGGACGAACAGATAAAGTCTGTAGTTGAACCCAGTTTTTTTCAATTACAGTTCGACTACAGTTGGTCCAAAATGCAGCAGCTCGTCTTTTAACTAATACACGGCGCCATGAGCATATCACTCCAGTCCTTGCCTCTCTACATTGGCTTCCTGTTCGTTTTCGGATTGATTTTAAATTGTTGATGTTTGTCTATAAGGCTGTACATGGTCTGGCACCTTCATATATTTCTGGAGTATAAAAGCGCACAAGCTCAGAAAGGACACTTAGGAACCTGTCTGTTTTTAAATCACTTCTTAAAATGCATTTGTATTCATGGGCCTTCGACAATTTTATTGATTGATGTATTTGTTTTGACTATGTATTTTTCTTGTTATTTTACTGTATCAATGTGTTTTATCTGGTCTTAGGTATCTTTATTATTATTATTATTATTTGTTTATGTTTTACTGAAAAGCACCTTGTAACGCAGGTTTAGAAAGGTGCTATATAAATAAACTTTGCTTGCTTGCAAGTGTGTGAGGGTACACCTGACTCCTGCAACGGGTTGTGTAGGCTACTTGCTAATGACAGATGGATCTTTAGAGCCTGAGGGTTGAATGCATGTATTTGAGGGCAGTTAAAATTATTTACCCCTCAAATGTTCTGGGGGTTTTGAAAAACAAAAAACAAAACAAAAACAAAATATATCGCCGACGACTGTGGTTCAGTGGGTAGAGCAGTTGTCTCCCAACTGGAGGGTCGGAGGTTCGAATCTCAGTGCCTGCAGTCCACATGTCGAAGTGTCCTTGGGTAAGACACTGAACCCCCAAGTTCCCCCGATGGTTAGAGCCATTGGTTGAGTTGGCGCCGCAGATGGCTGCCTCGGTTCTGTACCAGAAACAAATTCCTTGTGTGTGTAACATACTTGGCCAATAAAAGTGACTATCCTTATCTTCTAAATACCAGAATGTATTTCTTTCCTCCTCATATTTTCTGATTTCATTGATATACTGCCGGCTGAAAGGAAACCTTTGGTGGGCCGGATGTGGCCTGCAGACTGCCAGTTGACAATCCATGCAATATACAATTCCGTCATTCTGACTGTCCATACTGTAAATCTATTATGTGATCTATTCAGTACACGCAACATCCACTGCACATCTGTCTGTTCTGAACAAGGGACACCTCCTCTGTCGCTCTTCCTAAAGTTTCTTCCATTTTTTTCCCCATTAAAAGGTTTTTCCCTTATCCAATTTGAGGGTCTAAGGACAGAGGATGCTATATGTTGTACAGATTGTAAAGACCCCTGAGGTAAATTTGTGGTTTGGGCTATACAGGTAAAATCTGATTTGCCTTGAAGTATTATGGGGCCACTTCTTCAAGCGAGCTGGGCACTGAACTATATTGATGAGAACGTGGTTTCAACTAATAGGTTTTTAAAGTGAGCTATCGATCCTTCCTGGCAATTATTTAGAAAGAACCTTAAACAAACTAACAAAAACTTGGAGGATGAACTCAAACTGTGAAGGAACAGAGAGAGAGACATACTCACTTAACAGACATGCAGCTAGATAGATATCTCTACAAAGAAATGCTGGCACTGAAGAAAAGATACAAGTGTAACAGACGTGACACAAATCAGTGTTTAAGAATAGCATTTGGGAACGGGTGGCAGAGACTGAGTAGGTGCTTATGAAATCTGATCTACCTTGTTAATTAAGCCTGGATTCACTTACTCAGAGATTAAAGAGAGAATTCACAAGGCAGGGCTTCACTGAACTAGACCTCATTAAATAAACCCCATGTTTCTCAGTGACATGGGATTCATTAAAACACCTAAAAGCTCAACCAAAACTCTAATCAATCATCACATACACTGGGCACTACGAATTTGGTCTCCATATGCTCAATCTATGTTGCTCTGATGGTGTATGCAACAGACTGTTGGTTTACATTGAGTAGCAGTAGTTAGGTTTTCTTCTAGTATCTAAACTGACAGTAGAACTTGTGCGTTTGTAAAAAAAAAATATTAATATTCAGATGCATAATGATTTGACTGTGTGGACATCATACTGTAAGCACAACTATGTGAAGATCTGACATAGGTGTATATTCTCAGAATGTCCTAGGATGAATTTCAGTAAAAACGTTTTACCTTCCACTCCACTTATACACTTGACACGGTCGCGGACCTCCACATTGTATCCCTCAAACGACATGAAGACTCCATCAGGGTGGTAGGGCTCACGCTGTGTGTAAACCTTTGAATAGCTGTGCTGGAACTCAAAACGATCGTAGCCGTCGTACTGCACTACTTTGCCATACACCTCAAAGTACTTTTCCATCCAGCTGAAGGGCAGGTAGATTTCTCCCCCCTCTCGTCGGCCTTTGATAGTAGACTCATCGTTGATCAGGCAGTCAATTTCTTCATACCTGATCCCACCAACAACCCCAACAACAGGTGGGGGCTCTGGAGGTTGTGGAGGGTGTTGCTGGCTGCTGATGCTAGCGTCACCCACTCTAGGACTTGGAGCGACCAAGGCAGCGCGGGGCAGGAAACGTAGGGATGTGTCGCTGGAGCAGCGGTTCCACAGCAACACGGTGATGAGTGTGAAAAGGGCGCAGATAACAATCAGGGTCTTGTAGTTCACCCGAGCAGCCAGGCAGCGCATGGTTACAACTCACCTACATGACACAAACACAAGTGACATATTAGAAGCATGTAATATTGACCCCAATTGTTTGTTAGGCCAATCAACTTGTCAGCCTGTGAAAAACTGCACACCTACAGTAGTCTGACTGCACAAGCCTGCTGGAAAATATGATACAGCAGCCTTATGTTTCTAAACCCTGTCAGTATTAACTCAGTACACGCTACTTAATCTTACTGTTAGAGAAAAAAGGATTAAATTAACAGGAGGTCTAACGAAGCTGAAAATGTGAGGTAGAAGGCCTGGGAACTGCACCCTTAAAAGATAAGTGGGACCAGCTCTGCGAGGGACCCAACAATAAGTAATTAGCTCTTTTTATAGTGATTTGTCATTGGTAGAGCTAAACTCAGGCTCAAGGTGGACAGACGTGGGCTTAAGCACTTCCGCTGAGAGAATATCATATTGCCACACTGGGAGACAATGGGTCTTAAGCCATGTTTCATTTGACAAATGTATTTTACACTGACATCAGAACATGGCTACCTTAGTTAATGTCAACAGGCAAACAAGTTATAATGGATTAACTATGGATTATCTACTGATCAAAAATCATTAATGTTCTGATTCAAGTGACATCTCAAACCGTCTCAAACACACCTGATACAAATAAGGATTTGCCAGTTTGCTATGTAGCAGA